CCCAGAATTCCCCAGCCAGCGAATGCTGGCTGGGGAATTCTGGGAGTTGAAGTCCAGACATCTTCAAGTTGCCAAGGTTGAGAAACACTGGGCTAAAGATTAACTCTGCAAAAACAAGCTAGGAGAGAAACTGCACCACCGGCAAATTTAACTAGTCATGAATTTGTACCAAAATGAACATTTATTTATTTAGCATATGGCATATAGCAGTAGTAAAAATATATGGAACAATCAGATTATAATAAAGTACATTTATGATAGAAATATGTACTCAGTGTTGTAAGGTTTAGAGAATTCAAGGAATTATACATTAGTTATAGGTTACGTTTTAAAATACGTTGATTTGTAAGAGTTCTATATATTCATATCTAGGCCAAAATGAAAAAAAAAAGTGCAGGGGAACCACCACCACCACCACCAAAAATATTACCCTTTTGGTTGAATTAGTTAATAAAAGCCAAACCTGAAGGAATGGACTGAATTAACAGCCTCTCTGGGAAGCTAGCTAGGAATACAGATAGTCCTTGACTTATAACAGTACGCTTAGTGACCAAAGTTTTACAATGGCAGTGGGAAAAAGGGACTTTTTCATACTTGCAACCACTGCAGCTTTCCCATGACCGTGTGATCAAAATTTAGATGCTTGGCAACTGACTCATACCTATGACGGTTGCGGTGTCCCCTTTTGCGACCTTCCAAGAAGCAAAGTCAGTGGGGAAGCCGGATTCACTGAACGACCGTGTTACTAACTTGACAGTTGTGATGATTCACTTAACAACAGTGGCAAGGAAGGTCACGAAAGGAGGCAAAATTCCCATAACGGATGTCTCACTTAGCTACAGGAATTTTTGGGCTCGGTTGTGGTCGCAAGCCGAGGACGAGCGGTATGAGAGGCCAAGCAGCCTGTCGGGACGGCTTCTCAAACAAACCTTGGGCAAAAGCCGTAACGCGGCTCCCTCCCTTTCATTCCAGGATTGCCTACATCGAATTCAAAAGCGAGGCCGATGCGGAGAAAGCTCTGGAGAAGCAGGGGATGGAGATCGACGGCCGTCCCATTGTCCTTGACTACGTAGGTGAAAAGAGCCAGCAGGATAGCAGGAAACCTGGCAAGGGAGCCCCCTCAGGTAAGGTGCCAGGTGGATCCACTTGGGGTGACGAAAACCGTCTCTCTGCTGCAGAGAGGCCTCCAGAACTAACCAGGGATGGAGACGTTTTTGTTCTCATTAACACAAGGAGAACTCTTGGTTTAGCAACAGCACTTAAGACTTAAATCCCGTTTCATGGTGCTTTTACCGCCCTCTCTAAGTGGTTTACTGAGTCAGCCTCTTGCCCCCAACAATCTGGGTCCTCGTTTTACCCACCTTCGGAAGGATGGAAGGCCCAGTCAACCTTGAGCCGGTCAGGATCGAACTGCTGGTAATTGGCAGTCAGCAGAATTGGCCTGCAGTACTGCATATCGATTCACTGTACAGTCAGCCCTGAGTCCCCTTAGGGGAAAAGAGCGGCATAGAAATATAATAAATTCAAATTTAGCAACCGTTCACAGTTTCAACCACGATGGAAAAAAATCCATCCTTCCAGTTCTTGCATTTACCGTATTTTTCAAAGTATAAGACACACCAAGGTTTTGAAGAGGCAATTTTTTTTAAAAAAAAAGTTTTTGCACTTTGCAAACCTCCCCCAAATGGCCCGTTTTTCGCAAAAACAGGCCCGTTTCCCCCCCACAAAAAGACATAAATAGCCTTTAGGGGGCTTGCAGAGTGCTTTCCCCCCAAACGAGCAAAAACTGGCCCATTTTTTGTCAAAAAAAATGCATGCATAGACTTTAGGAGGCTTATAGAGCAATGCCCTCCCCAGCCCTCAGAAGCTCTCTGGAAGCCTCCTAAAGGCTCTGCATGGCCATTTTGGTGAAGGAGGTGGGGTTTCGGGAGGCAAAAAAATGCTGTATTCAGTGTATAAGACGCACCCAGATTTTCAGACTCTTTTTTGAGAGAAAAAAGGTGCGTCTTATACTCCAAAGAATTCAGTAAACCTTTGCAAGTCTAATGCCAAAGTAAGATCAAAATGAGCCCCAGTAGTTAAGCTGCAGAACAGCAGCCAAACTCTGCCCACTGCCAAGAGTTTGAGCCTGACCGGCTCAAGGTTGACTCGGCCTTCCATCCTTCTCAGGTCGGTAAACTGAGGACTCAGATTGTTGGGGGCAAGATGCAAAAAATGCTTCTGCGTTGTTTAACCTTAACCACCCAGAGAAGTCTGTAAAGCGTCCATAAGCCTGAGTGCTAGTGCTAAAAAAGCAGGGTGGTTTCACTTAGTGACCACTTGAGGAACAACTGAGTCGCCATTGCAGTTGTGTCTGAAGCGAAGATTGCCTGTATTCATTCTCAAATGGACGTGTGGGTTTTTGCACAGGGGGAGAATCCAAAACGCTGGTGGTGAACAATCTGTCTTACGATGCGACCGAGGAAAGCCTCCAGGAGGTCTTTGAGAAAGCTTCGGCCATCAGGATTCCCCAGAACAACCAGGGACGGCCCAAGGGGTGAGTAGGAGCCGAGATGAGCTGCCGCCCCCAGGCGGAAGGGAGGGGCTGTCCATAGAGGGGAGGGGAGGTTCCTCTGGTGACCCCCTGCTTCTCTTGGGACAGGTATGCCTTCGTCGACTTCGCCACCACCGAGGAGGCAAAGGAAGCCATGAACTCCTGCAACAACACAGAGATCGAAGGCCGCACAATCAGACTAGAATTCAGCAACTCTGGCGGACAGAACAGAAATACCAACGTTAAAGGAGGCTTCAGTCGTAAGTAAAACCCTGCTTAACCCACCTGGAGCATGAAAGGGGAGCCTTCATTTCTCTCCGGGCCGGTGCTGATTATAGATGCACGCTGGCCTAAAAGACACTGGAGAAGGTTGGTTCTCCCACAGTTCAAGTCCCACTGCCTGTCTTCCCCCTGGGTCTCTGGAGGCAGGTAGTTAACCGTCCGGTCGATCAAATGCTCCAGGGGCCTGGGACAGCATCGTCCTCAGCCCCTGGTCTTTCTAAACATTGATAACAGATTAACAGCGTTGGAAGGGATCTTGGAAGTCATCTAGTCCAACCCCCCACCCAAGCAGGAGACCCTACACCATTTCTGACCGATGGCAGTCCAGTCTCCTCTCAGAGCTTCCAGTGATGAAGCTCCCACAACTTCCGAACGCAACTTTGGTTTCATTGGTGCCAGAAAATGTCTCCTTATTTCCAGGTTGAATCTCTCCTTGATCAGTTTCCATTCATTCTTCCTTCTCTGGCCTTCAGGGGCTTTGGAGAATAGCCTGACGCCCTCCTCTCTGGGGCAGCCCCTCAAATATTGGAAGATGCTCACATGTCTCCCCTGGTCCTTCTCTTCACTAGATTAGCCATGTCTCTCTCTTTTCTTTTTTATTATTTTTTCCTTCCTTCCCTCCTCCTATCCTCCTTTCCTTCCATCCCTCCCTCTCACTTTCTTTTTCTTTCTATTTTTTGTCCTTTGGAGAATAGCTTGACCCCCTCCTCTCTGTGGCAGCCCCTCAAATATTGGAAGATGCTCTCCTGTCTCCCCTGGTCCTTCTCTTCACTAGACCAGGCCTAGTTCCCGCAATTATTCATCGTATGTTTTAGTCTCCAGTCCCCTCATCATCCTGGTTGCTCTTCTCTGCACTTTTTCCAGAGTCTCCACATCCATTTTAACTGGATG